GATCAGTGCTGGTGCCTTTTAAAATATGTATTTCATCAGTTAAATACTTTGCATTCCGAAGGAAACAAAATTTCAAGTAATCATTTTATTAACTAAAGAATGTTTAAGATTACCTGTTTTGCAGCTCCTTAAGTAGGTCAAATATTCAGGAAAGTAATGAAGTGTCTGCCTTGGGCAGCAAGAGGTGGTGAATATAAATGAAATCACAATGTGATATAACTTGTACCACTTAAATGCTTTAAAAAAAAACCCTTACTCTGGGCAAAAAAAAAAGTAGCAAGAGCTCAGTAAGTTCTGTGTGATCTGAACATGAATCCAGGTGAGCCATCGTGGCCAGGGTGCATCGTTATTCACACTTCAGGTTCTGTGCATTCACTCGACAGGCATTGACTGAACATGAACTAGGTGCATGATACAAAGTGTACTTTCAAAAGTACATATGTGTGAAAGAAAATGACAACACGCTGATTTCAGGACAGTCCAGTCTAATGCAGGGTATAAACAAAACAAAACACGGCAAAAAAATCCTGTGATGGGCTTTGGCCTCAGCCCTGCCTGAGGCACCAGAGAGTGGGAGATGAATTTTGACTTGGGAGAAGTAGGAGAGCTTCCCAGGGGACATGAACTGTGATTTAAAAACACCTATAGTTTTGCCAGTTGATGGAGAAGTGGATAATAATGTCAGGCACAGGGCACGGAAGATGAGAACATGTGTAAGTGTCATATTTTCAGAAACGCGCAAATGTGAGCACGGGGAAGGGGTGTGCAATGGGGCTGCCAACGTAAGACTGCGTTACATTATACAGTACCTTATAGGTTAAGAATGTGATGTTTTCCATACTGGGAATGAAGTCAATGTGTTTTGTTTTGCTTTCATTGAAACAAGCCAATATGTCTTTAATTTTAAATATACATTGATATTAAAAATATTCATTTTAGGAAGAAGTGGCTATTTTGATGTGAGTTACCAGTCTGTTATAGGAGAGGTCACAGGAAAGACGGGGAAAGGTGTATTTAAGACACATTTCTGACATAGCTCATTCCATATTGAGGAAAAGGAAGACAGAAAATTTGGGCATAAAGTAGGTTTCTTGCAAAATTGTGCAATTACTGTGAGTGAGAAAAAGAAAACTTACCTGGTAAAACTCAGGTAAAATTGTATATTCATTTCAGAAATGACACATCAAATTTATACCATCTACACTGAAAACTGTGGATCATTAATTCATGTTCTCCTTTAGGATAGCAATTAGGGAAGCTCTGAGACGTGCAGTATCCTAACACATGTACACAGGCGTCCCAGGAACGTGCCCCCTTCCTCCAGAACCTGAGGAAGCGAAATGAACCCAGCTGACTGGCGGGTGGGGGATGGTAATGTGGAGGTCCTGACTCACTCACTGGCGAGGCAGTGTGTATATCAGGTATTTCTTAGAGATTGGAATGTTTAAAGCAATGTTAACTTGTATCTTCTTCCAATACATTTATTTATTTTCAGATTTTGATCTGCCATTTTAGAAAGCCTAGAAATCAATCACCGACCAGAGACATGGTGTCTTATAATGCTTGACAGGAGAGATTCTAGACCCAAATTTCTGGGTTGAATGGATCCTGTTATTTATTAGCCACGTGATTTACAGCAACTGACATATGCTTTCTTTGCTGAAGTTGCCTTCACTGTAAAACAGAGTGGACAGTAGCCAGTACTATCATTGGTAGAGTACTGGAAATACATTGAGGAATAAATAATAAAAGAAAACACTAATAGTGCCCTTAACAAAGGCTAAGCACGCGTCTGAACATTTTTATGTATTATCTCATCATTTCATTTAAAATATCCCCACAGACTATATACTGTCGCCCTGTTTACAGATGAAGAAATCATCGCACAGAGAGGTGGGACTCGCTAAGTCAAGCAGCCAGCATCTGGCAGACTCTGACATCAGTCAGGGTCCACCGTCTCCTGCAACCACTTTCTTTCTTGATTTTAATCAAAATTCACAAAAAGTATCATAAATACATGAGCTAGTACATGGTGTCTGGCACTGACTGAGTGCCAGGAAATCTAGCTGCTGCCTCCGTTAGAGCTTTTTCTGCTATCACTTAATTAATGGTTAGTCTTGAGAGAGTGAATATCTGAAGTGTCTCATGTACACCCAGCACCTTATACTATACACACAGCACCTTACACATACAGCACCTTATACACATATACACACATCTTCTCGTCAGAATAATATGCACTTGTTTAGAGAACTGTCTATCACAGCAGCTTGTTACTGTAACATTCTCTGTTTGTTTTGTTTGCTATTTATCTGGTTCATAGTCTGGCTTACTAGTTTATGAGCTCCATAAGAGAAGAAAGTTTGTCTCCTTTGTTTTCGTTCTACACCCACTGACTGTCAAAGAGATGGACACATCACAGGAAACTCAGTGAATGTTTATGATAAACAAAGGTGAACACAGTGGAAATACCAAGAAAAGAATCATTTTTTCCTTCTGAGTCAATGGGCCTGCCTATCACAAAGGCATTACAATGAGAAGAACATTTTGCATTACTTGTCTATAACCGTTAGCAAAGTTAGCAAAGTTCCGGCCGGATCCATCCGCAGCTAATGAATGTGTGGGTGAAGGAAAGGCAAGCAGCCTTTTCAGGCCTGTTTAATGGTGCCATTGCCTTTCTCCCTGGGTCTCCTACCTGCTTTGTCTCCAGAGGAGCAAAAAAAGGCAAACAGATTCCCTGGACTTACAGCCAGGATGAAAATGGAAATACCTGCTAATGGAGGATTTCCTGGTTTGGCGGAAGGATGTTTGAATCTAAACATGAAATTTTTCTTTCTCCAAAAGAAAACTAAAATATTTATACATTGTGCATGTAAGATGCCACCAGTCACCTTTGCAGACCGTTATGTTTCATTCCTACTCCTTGAGATAATACCACCAAATCATTTTCTCCTCATTATGTTCTAGAAGGGAGGACTGTTATGTCTATTTTACTCTCTGAAACTAGGCTAGCTTTCCAAGTTTTGTAGCACAGACATATAATATAAAGGAACATGAAGAGAGAATATAAAAAAGAGAGTAGACACCTATGATTTATTAGTGGAAGTGATTTTTTTATAGAGAGACCTTTGGAGAAATGGATACAAGATGAAAGATATAAACCCTTCTTAAATGTCATTTTTGGGGGTTAAGAGGTACTGATTTTTAACCTAAAAATGTTATTATCAGATTTATAAATAGTTTAGGATTGTATACTTTTTACATGATTGAAAAAGTTGCTGTCATTTTTATCACATTTTTATCACATATTTAAATAGAATTTGAACATATTACTCAAATGAAGGATGGAATTAGTTTAAAATACGTCGAGTATCTTCAGAGGTGAACCTGAAGCATAGCAACATCATGGGAAAATGATTCGATTTTTTAAAACTGCAGTAATTACTCAATGTGTTGCAAAAAGAAACGAGTTGTGGTGAGACAGGCAGGGAATGAAATTTTACTATGGTGATATTTGTACAACTATGCCTCATTTACAGAATAAATATAATCTTCAAAATGCAGGAAATTATTGTAAAAGACCAAGTCTTCATTTAGATCTATTAGCAAAGCACAGTTTTAAGAGAGGAAATTGTGTGTGTGTGTGTGTGTGTGTGTGTGTGTGTGTCTGCTCAACGCTTTGTATTTATCTGTCCAGAAAGAGCACAAAACAGCTTTAGAAACAAGCCAGTAAATCTCTCCACGTGCATCAAAATCACTACTTTCAGATGCTAATTTCCAAAGCGTTTTTTATGGTTCATACATGAAAGCACTTGCATGTTTCCATTGACATAGAGGTGACACGCCACCTTGATGGTGAGGGCAGTGTCAGGAGATATTTTCGGAATTTCAGTGCCTAGACTACAAACCACAGAAGGGCAGGTATTATTCCATTTTGAACACCAAAATGTTTCAAGGTCCTAGGACTATATCCTACCTAGTGAGGCTCAATGAATATTTGTTGAATGAATGAGTGAATGGAGAGTCTGGAAATAACCTTGCTGCTTATGTTTTAGATCATAAAAATGATCAGGTAGCCAGTTGTAAGTTCCTTGTCTGAAACAGTCAGTGGCAAAATCTAACACATCAGTTCCTTAGGCAGTGATAATGCCCTTCAGTAAATTAGTTTACTATTAAGTACTAAATAGGTGATAGAAGAAAGCATCAGTTGAGGTTATAAATACTAAAGGAGAATTCCCAGACAAATACCTTATGTTCTATATACCTCCTTAATTAAACTATTCTACGATTTACAACAAATTTCTTCATGGGATAGATAAGGCAATATTTATTATTATCTTATGAAGATTCATTTATCCATTCACTAAGCATTCACTTAGTAAATGCTTTCCTTCAGCTGTACACTAAGTAGTGGGGATATAATTGTGTGTCCCATAGGCAGTTTTTTTTTTGAGACAGAAACAGATTTAAAAAAAAACAAGTAAACACATAAATGAGCAGAATAGATTTGTCTTATGATAAGTGCTTCAAAGAAAATAAATGGAGACTGGGAGTTTGAGAGTTGAATGAATCTACAGTTACAGTTCTCAGGAGGAACAATTTTGAGGGGATAATATTTAAGCTGAAATGTCTAAATTCCAAGTTCAGCTTCAAAAGACACTTTCTCAGTTGGATAAGGTCTAATATATCTTCAAAGCCAGGTGTACATGGCATTGGGAGGAGAGGGGAAGAGAGGCTATTACTCCAGCAATGTACAGTAATTAGTAATGTTGGAAATGCTTACATCCCATACTTAATGCCCACTCACCAATGTAGAACCATTGCTGTTCTGTATAGTAGTTATTATGAGGCATCCCCTTTCTCTATATTGTTCAACCAGTATAAAACAGAGAAATCGAATTTTGATAATACCCCAACAAGTGGAGTATAGTTTTATATATTAAGGTTTGTCTATATTTCTATTTTTTATTTGATTTCTTTATTTTGTACATGTTTCCCAGGATAGTCCACTGGTCTTACAGTCTGACAGGAATGTAACAGTGAATGCAAGAAATCACATGGGGCAGTTAACTGGACAGCTGACCGTAGGTGAGTGTTTTGGGGTCCAATTGTGTGTGCCATCTTGCTCCATGTAAAACTCTGTGGTTGTTAAATTGGGAAAAGCAAATGCGCATCATCTATTGAATGCATATCGAGACATCCCAAACAGACCAATTATCTCACATTCGATCTGATTTACTGTGAGACTAGTTCCAGTTTCCTCTGTTTGGTAGTTATTCCTGTTGTCAGTGTGTTATTATGGGGCTGCATTAACATATATGATGCTGTCTGTTTATTCTTTATGTTAGACGAATCATTTACCAATAAATATTAATACCAGCTTATATAAATCAGAACTAACATACTAGTTGAATATAATGAATCTAAAATGTATGATTACTTATAAATTTAATGTTGAATTTTCTACAATGTAAGGCTTACAGGCTTCAGAAGTGATAAGCGTAAGTTAATGATAAAGTATCAGTGTTTTATCATATTGTCAAAAATTTTAATTTAGAGATTCATATTAAATGGCATTATTGGTTGACTCAATTTTTCTAAGAAGTTATTTGACTCAATTTTTGTAAGAAGAAAGGCAAATTAAAAGTTGGTTGTAATTATGTAAGGTAACACAAAGATTTACTTGGTCTATAATTGCTAAAATTTGAAAAATGAATATATATTTTTTTCTGTGGGAAAATTGCCTACCACTTATTGGTATTTTGTGTTTGTGTATGTGTGTGCATGAAAGCATATTACAAGTGGTAAATTAAAATTCTGAGGACTGAGTTACCCTTATCCTAATAAATTTATCATCATCTGAATGCAGAGGTGTGTTTCCAATATTTCTTTTTTTTCTTTTTAAGTATATCTCATTGATTATACTATTTCAGTTTTCCCAATTTCCCCCCTTTATCTCCCCTTCACCTTGTACCCCTCAATCCCCAGCATTCCCACCTGTCAGTTCAGGTCCATGGGTTGTACGTAATTCTTTGACTTCTCTGTTTCCTATACCATGTTTTACCTCCCCATCTATTTTATGCCTACCAGTTATTCCCTGTACCTCTTCCCCCATTCTTCCCCGCCCCATCCCAACTGAAAACCCTCCATGTGATGACCATTTCTCTGATTCTGTTCCCATTCTAGTTCTTTGCTTAGTTTTTGTTATCCTTGTTTTTCCTTTCTTTTAGGTTAATTTGTTGACAGTTGTGACAGTGTTGTCATTTTACCATTCGTAGGTTTTAATCTTCTTTATATTCTTACATAAGTCCCTTTAACACTTCATATAATAAGGGCTTGGTGATGATGACCTTTAACTTGACCTTATTGGGGAAGCACTTTAATTAAACTACACAAAAATGTGACACTTAAAGTTTGAGATTTATAAATGTGAGTTTGATTCTGTCTACTTCCTTTGTAAGTATATGAAATACTTTTTTGATATGTTTTTCATTTTAATGAACCCCAAAGTAGAACTTATGTTTTAGCATATATTTCCAAAAATATATAGTTATATTTTACTTATAACAATTAAATTTTATTTTATATCTGTAAAGTGGAAGGGTTGGTCAGTAAGTATCCATTATTACCATAACTGGAAAGTGTTTTGTGATACACAGATGTATGTCAACTACGCAGAGGAGTGATACACAAATGTATTTAAAATCAGAGAAGAGAAATATGTCTGTGGATACAGAACTGCTTCAGAAGCACCAGCCACTCAGTGCCTGTGAACAAGCCATTTCATTACTGTTATGTTGGAACTGCAGAAACAGGCCTGAACAGGCAGGTTTTCCATGTCATACTTTTCTCTTTTTCTAAAATTTTTACTGTTGTTCAATTACAGTTGTTCCCATTTTCCCACATTACTCTCCTCTCCCCTACCCACTGCCCACCTCCCACATTCAATCCCCTGCTCCTGTGGTCTTTGCCCGTGGGTCCATGTCATAATTTTCTTAATGTTGAGAAGACTTTAGACAGATAAAACTTTCTTTTATATTCTGTTCCTGATTTGAAAAAGAAAATGTCCCTAGTGGAAATGACGAAGTGTTAAACACACAAAAAACATATTTCAGTATCCACTGTAACACAACAGCTACATGACTACTACTGATGGAGCAAAGCATCTGTTCAGTTATGTGGGGTGTAATCAAATACCATTTGTATTTTGTTGTATGCTTTCCCGTAGGAAAGATAAAGAATAATAGTATCATGGTTGTATTTCCAACCAGTTTTAAACTGACTTTTTATGATTTATTTTTTGTTAAAGATTTTATTTATTTATTTATTTGTAGACAGGGAAGAAGGGAGTGAGGAAGAGAAACATCAATGTGTGGTTGCTTCTCAGGCGTCCCGCCATGGGGACCTGGCCCACAACCCAGGCATGTGCCCTGACTGGGATCAAACCAGCAACCCTTTGGTTTGCAGGCTGGCACTCAGTCCACTGAGCCACACCAGCCAGGGCTAAATTGATTGTAATAGAGTATCAATATTTGCCAATTGAGAAAGAAAAAGAAATGATAAAAACAGAAACAGAGAGAGAAAGGATGGGTGGAGGGAGAAAGGTTATACTTAGTTTTAAATGAAGCAAATCAATAAGCTAATGATGTAGTGGCTTATATTTGTGGATGGAAATATACTCAATCCATTGATGCTTAAGCTAAGAACTGTTTAACATCCTAGTCACCAAGGTCTGCTGTTGGTGACCTCCATCTTTTCCTTGCTTTGTCTATTTCAATAAACACACAGAGAACAAAACAGCTGAAGAAAGGGGAGTGTGGAGGGGACAAAATGTTCACTCACCTCTGGAGTCAAACCATCTGGAATGCCAAAAAGTAACATCTCTTGGAGAGTCAGACTTTTCATTTATAAAACAGAAATAAGGACACTTATTAAGAATAATATTATAAGAAGCAGGGCAATTTCAGTATCTCAAATAGTAGACAGTTATGTTTCAAATCTGTATTTATTTTGATGATGATGATTATAATAATTATATCACTTTAGTTAGAAATGCATTACTATTGCTTAGAAATCTCACAGTGCTTTTCTATCCAATGTGTCTTTGTGATAGTTGAGGAATATATGTTGGATTACAATACTGTTGCAATGATGTAAATATACCTGGTATGTAGAAAATTTTCAAGTCATATCAGGATACATATTTCTTTAAGTATAAGTTGAAGAGATAATAGGATGAATTAAAGCAATATATTTATTTTTATAAATTCTTTTTTATTTTTATTCATTTTTAGTTATTTAATCATTGTTCAAGTACAGTTTTCTGTTTTTTACTCCCATCCCAGCCCACCCCCCCAGTGCTCCCCACCTCCCTCCCATTTTCACCCCCCTTAGTTGTTTTCCATGTGACAAGCAACCCAATTGAAAAGTGGGCAAAGGACTTGAACAGACATTTCTCCAAGGAGGACATACAGAAGATCCAGGGACACATGAAAAAATGCTCAATATCACTAGCTATCAGAGAGATGCAAATTAAAACTACAATGAGATACCACTTTATGCTGGTCAGAATGGCCATCATAAATAAAGCAACAAACAACAAGTGTTGGAGAGGTTGTGGAGAAGAGGGGACCCTAATTCATTGTTGGTGGGATTGCAGACTGGTACAACCACTGTGGAAAACAGTATGGAATTTTCTAAAAAAAACTAAAAATGGACCTGCCTTTTGATCCAGCATTTCCACTGCTGGGATTATATCCTAAGAACCCTGAAACACCAATCCAAAAGAACCTATGCACCCCAATGTTCATAGCAGCACAATTTACAATAGCCAAGAGCTGGAAGCAACCTAGGTGCCCATCAGTAAATGAATGGATCAAAAAACTATGGTACATATACACAATAGAATTCTATGCAGCAGAAAGAAAGAAGGAGCTCCTACCCTTTGCAACAGCATGGATGGATCTGGCAAGTATTACGCTGAGTGAAATAAGCCAGGTGGTGAAAGACAAATACCATGTGATCTCACCTTTAACAGGAAGCTAAACAACAAAACAAACAGGCAAGCAAAATAAAAACAAAGACACTGAAATAGAGAACAGGGGGACAGTGACCAGAGGGGAGAGGGGAGGGCATTTCAGGGGAGAAGGGGAAGGCTTACAGAAACTAGTATAAAGGACACATGGACATCAAGTAATATATTTAAAAGACTTTAATTTTAGCTGCATTGACATAAAGTAGTTATTTTAATCTTTTTTTCTTGCTGCTTTTAATTTTTTTCAGTTTTTGTTTTGGGGCATAGTGTTGATTAAAATATAAATGTGATACTGTTTTTGCAATATTTAAAAATATACTTCCAAAAATGGAGTAATATTTGAGGAAAACAAATGTATTTATTCTTCAAGTAAAACTATCCTAATTTCCACCCTGTACCTATCAATTTCCATTAGAAAGCATGACAGACTGAATTATCTTGCTATATTTTATTCCCATTATGTAAGGGAAAAAATGTCCCCTGTCAGTAGTGAGCTGTATCATTTTTCCCTGAAATTCTGTATGTGTTTGGTCAGCAAAGTAAATATCCATCCCCTATGTATCCCATCTTTCTCATGTTTTCATACAGGCCTACTCTCCTGCTGGTTTGATTTCCAGGGATATGTGTAACCGAAGACATGTATGGACCCGCTGTGTTAATCCCAAACCAGACTCATTCTAAGACTATAAAACGAGATCACTTCTAATTTAATAAGTGCAAAGAAAAAGATCTTATACATATGACAGCTCACTCAAAATTAAATATAAACATTTTTAGATTTTTGGTTAAAAATCAATTGACAAATTTTTGTATGCTTATAAAATTCTAGGCATTATGTTAAATTTCTGTTGATACCACAATACCCCTTCTCCCCATGACATCTAAGATTCCAATTTTTCATAGGAGATTAGTGAATTCAAGATTTCTTTGTACAACTTTTTCTTCTTAGAATAAAACTGAAAGAGAGGAATGAGATTGTTGTAGAGAAGTGGTTAAAGAAAGTACACAGTCCCACGAGGTCAGATTTCTTAAAGAAAAAAAACAAGAAGTTTCT